TGGAGGTAAATGTAATTAGCTCTGAAAAGCATTTTTAAAAAAAAAAAAAAAAAAAAAAAAAGAGAAAAAAGAGTAATTAGCTCTGCAAACGTTAATGTCGCGAAACTCACCACGAAAGTACCTCCAATTTCAATCATTGACCGCTTGATTAATCCCAAAAGATCACCAATTCCTTTTACCCACAAATCGGTGGCTGTACCTCAATTCTCTTTCATAAAAACCACATAAAAATCTCTCACTCGTCTCCTCCTTTCTCTCTCTTCGCTTCTCTTTCTCGGCCATATACCTGAGACCCCCTCACCAATTCTTCCACAATGGCCGAAACCCCGTCTGACCAAACCCAGACCCAGGCCGAGACTCAAGTTCCAGCCGGGTCGGACCCAAATCCTTCACAATACTGGTGCTATCACTGCGACAAACGGGTCTCCATTGAAACCCTTGCGGATCTCCCTGACGTCATCTGCCACGAGTGCAAGAACGGCTTCGTCGAGTCCATCGGTCCTCCAGCCGCCCCGGCTGCAGCTTCGGACCCCATGGATGATCCGTCTTTCGGAAACCAGTTCCTCCAAGTCCTTCGACTCATAGCTCAGGCCGCGCGTGACGAAGACGCGCCTCCTCCTCCCCCCTCTGAGCACGCCGATCCATCCGATGACGATTACCTTCGAATCGAGCTCGATGGCTGGGACAACGATGATGACGAGGACGACGAGAATGAAATCGAAGTCAGAAATGAAGATGTAGAAGAAAATCGAGAAAGGGTGGACCAAAATCGAGACCAATCGGACGACGACGACGACGACGAGGAGGAGGTCGACGACGAAAATGAGGAGAATGAGACTCGAGAAGAGACGGACGAAGATGATTTAAGGCGTAGGCGGCGCGATGTTCTTCGGCTACGGCTTCGGGACTTTGCCGCTCGAGCCGCGAATCGCCGTAACCGGATTCTCGATTGGGCGGAAATCCTAATGGGACTTGAGGACCACTCAATTGAGCTTCGATTGGCCGTGCCTGAAGGAGAAGGGTATATTGGGAATCCGGGCGATTACGTGGATGCGGCGGGTTATGAAGCTTTGCTGCAAAACCTGGCCGAAACTGATAGCGGTGGGCGGCGAGGAGCGCCTCCCGCGTCAAAAGCTTCTGTGGAAGCATTAGAAACCACGGAGATTAAGTCAGAACTGGAGGCATTGGCTTGTGCTGTATGTAAAGATATAGTTGGTGTCGGAGAAATGGTAAAGAAATTGCCTTGTGGACATGGGTATCACGGGGATTGTATCATACCGTGGTTGGAGTCGAGAAATTCGTGCCCTGTATGTAGGTATGAGTTGCCGACAGATGATGCAGAGTACGAGGAAGAAAGGAAAAAGAGAGCTGCTGCTGCCGCTGCCCCGAGTTCTTCTTCTGGTGGCAGTGGCGGTATTAGTGGTGATTACGAGACTGAGTTCTTCTAATCACCGGTGGCATATACGTCTATTTTCTGCAATTATTTTTCGATTTTCTTTTTCTAGAATTAGCTTATGATTTCGGATATTTTGACTCGTGGAACTCTGTTTGTGGACTAGCTTGAGGAATTGTAAACTTGTTTCTTCTTTTTTTCTTGTTAATGTAAATAAGAGATTTACTTCGATAAAAAACTTGTTTCTTCTTTATCTGGAGCATCTTGTCCCTGGGGCTGGATAACATGATGGAAACTGCAACATTTGCACCTATGAAATTAATGATATCATTTTAAACATGATACGCTATGCTGTCAAGGTATGCAAGGTGCTCTAGGAGCTTTACTTGTGTCATAAAATACAGTTAATTTCTAGTTTCTTGTAATAATCTTTGCGTGCATAATCGATGTTATACCTTTAATTGAAACTTCAGATGCAGAACGCGGATGTATTCTTTCGAAACCCTGACCGTAAGGGTCTCCCCAGTGTATTCATTCAGGCTGAATCTTTGTTGTTGTTGCTGAACGTCGGTCAATGCTGCTGCCTGTGCTAGCTTCCAGTGTAATGCGTGATACTTGGTCGGAGATTCGCGGAAAGGCGTATGATTTGCACAATTTCTTGTGCGCTTGGATTCAAGTTCTCATTAACGTCGTTATTTTAATGCATGAAAGCGCGTCTTGGCCACCGAGATTTTAAAATGCCTATTTATTTATTTATTTATTTGTGTGCAAAATTCATGACTTGCGTTTTCTGCTCCTGTTGTGTGTTGCGTTTTCATCTTGAATCTTCGGATGTATGGAGACGAGAGCGGATATTTATTTTAAGAAATTCTTGAGCTCGAATTCCTGGTTCTTATGTATGATAGTACTCATAAAAATCAACCGTAGCTTGAAGTGAAACTTGATGTAAAGATGCATCGTGTTTTACTACTACAATTTTAGGTAGTTGTATGTAATTTCGTGCATTTAGATTTGACTAGGAGGATAACACCGCACCATGTGCGATGTGATTTTCAATATTGCCCATAAATGCCTAATTATTCAAATTTAGATATTAAATATGAAAAGTTACATAAAAATGCATCAATATCTTTGCAGTTATTTTTTTGTAATTTTATTAAATAGTAAAAATAAGCTACAGTTTTAGCTTTTCATAGTTCTAGAATTTTTTTTTTCATAAAAAGAACTTTAAAATAATATACAATCCATGAATGATCTATGAAGATTGGAAGCTATTCTTGATCTTTTACTGATCCGATGGTCCAAAATTCATATTAATTCCTTACAACTACAGCAACTCCAAGATTGCCTTTTGAAACCCCGCCAGTGATAAGTTTTCAAAAGCCATCCTTAGGACGAGTCTCTATAGAATCATAGCTTCATATTTTTTCCTAGCCATGGTCTGTTTGGGTTCTGAGTAGGAGTAATTAGAGGTATTCAAAAGAGGAGAGGATTGAGGTTTGCCAACATAGAAAGATTAGATTCGTTTTGATAATTCAATAAGGACCAGCCAGTGAAAGAAATCACAATGCCCCAAAGAACTTGAAAAATGATGAAGGATTTTCTACTAGGTATGCTTTTTTTTTTTTTTTTTCATATATTCCTCATAGCTTAAATGATGATCAATACCAATCTCCCAAGACAAGCGTCCATATAATAAAATCAAGAAACAGAATAACTTTTTTTGATCATAGGGAATGCTTTTAGTTACCATAGGGAATGTTTTTTTTGAGCAGATCAACAAAATACCTGCGTGAAAGACGCCAAAAAATGATTAAAAAGAAAATTTGAATGAGTTTGAAAAGAGCAAAGGCCATTGAAAATGACCAAAGAGAAAAGCATACCAGGTCTCAAAAGAGCAATTTAAAGGAAAAAAATTAAATCAGAATGACACAACAAAACTTACATTTTCTCTCACCAGTTGTTGTTCTTCACAGGTGGCCATTTTTGCTTCCAACTCCAGAAGAAATCCAAGAAAGGCAAAAGCTTAGGTTGAGCTAAATAAACAAAAGGTCATTTTCTTCAGCAAATTATAGGCACATAAGTAGGTGAGATAATTTAAGAGAGCACTCAAGTTTTGAGACTTCAATCTTACCAGTCTCAAATGCGGGTGAGAATAACATAAATCATCTACAACCAGACAACACCATGGAAAAGAAAATTTCCTAAACAATCCAACTTGTAAAATTACTTAAGAGGTAATCTATAAGCTTAAGCAGCAGTCCATCGGAGGGGAAGAGCTTATATTGTCCTCTAGGCAATGCAATAAATGAAGGAAAATGTAGGCTGCAAAACCATGTAAAACCCATAGTTGGCAGGGGTAGCCTCAGCACAAGTTAGGACACTACTGAGTTATGAGAAATTTTGTGATTACATCTTTAACAGACATTATTCATGAAGCAACAATATACATTGGCAAGTAGAACACAAAAATGAAAATCCTATCCTTTACAATGCTTGGTAATGAACAAAACGGAAAGATGATTACCAACTATCACTAAGAAGCTCCATTTTGTTTGGCTAAGAGCTCAAAACTATCACTAAAAGATTATCGTTAAGCACCTGATGATCCAAATGTCCAAATAGTGGAAAATATACAGGAATACAAGATTTATTATTCAATCCTTTATCAGCTATGTAATAGTTGTACCCTGAGCTGATTTGCCTATATAATGGAATAGAGAATCATAGAGGTTAAGCCAATACCTTAAAATTCAATCACCACAAAAATTGCACAAGAAAGTAATACCTTAAGGACCACTACGAGCTAAAAGATTGGAACGACTGTGACAGTTTTTTTCCTTCATGATTAGTATATCAATCTAATAAAATTCCCCACAAATTAGAGACCAAAACAAAGTAAAAATTGAATTTGCTAGATCCATAAACCTAATTACCACTTCCATACACAATATAGCAAGGTTAATGAAAATAACACCATTCAAACAAACAAAAATTTACATTAAAATTAACCATCCAAAATATCAACATTTCAATTTCTACCTAATGAAAACAACCTCTGATGAGATGTTTCTGCACATGTGAGAAGTGCCATTTTGTTAACATAGTTCTGCAATTGAGTTTCTTAATCTGAGAAGTCACCATGAAAGAAAAGAAAAGCTTGAGTTTAGTCAGATTTACCAATCCAATATCATCATTCCTGATGATGGAGTGCTTCATTATGCGCTTGCAGATATCAAAAGCGTTGTGTCAGGAAGGGTCAGATGCCATAGCCTACTCCTTTGTGCCAGACCCGTATTGGTTTCATAAATACGGATCATGATTTAGTACCCTCAGCTTTGCTTGAAACCTTGCAATTGATTTTGCTGCACATACATTATTTTTTCTTGACTATTCCCCCATGGGACCCATGTTTATAAAACATCAAGTTTGCTAGCTTCCCTATAGTTTGTAGTTTTTGAATTTGTTTGTTGCTTGAATCTTCCATTTTTGCTTTTATACTTGCATGGACAAGACTAATTCTCATTAATGGTATTTGGTTGAGTCATGGACTCTGGATTCGGTTTGTCTCCTTAATGCAAGGTTGTGGCGGAAAGTATTTGATACGGAGATAACATGTTGATTTCTGTTGCTAGGAATTGTTGCAAAATAGGAAGCATCTTGGAAATGAGCTAGTTAGTGCTGAACAAGCTGAAGATCTTAAGATGAAAGAAAAAAGAAAGCGAGATAGGGAGGTTCGTATTATCTTTTATTGACACAAGTACAAAATTGTTGGCCTAAGTTGTCCATACACATTTTTATCTGATTGTTTTCTTCAGAAAAATCTTCCTAGAAAGAAAAGGAGGAAGTTTGAAGCAGCTAGAGAGAAACTGGAAGATGACAGTGAAGTTCTCCAGGTATGTACACTTGCTCTTTACTTTTTGCCTCTGACTGTTTATGACTAAATTCTTGCTATGATTGCATGCACGTTGTAGCTTCCTTTGTTGCTGACCTGCTTTACTTTCTTTGCCAGTGTTATCATTTACAGTTCTTTAATTGACTGTCTTTTGTTCTTATAGCTAGTTTCTCGCGTATTGGGTTTAGCAATCATTTTTTTCCCCTCCAGGGCAATGACAAAAGTAAGAAAGAGAATGCTGGAATTTCCCTTGTTGATTTAGCTTATCGGCGGGCAAAAGCTGTGAAAGCTGTGAAAAGGGCTACTGACGCTGGAAAAATTACAAGAAGGGTGGAAAAGAAATCCAAACATCCTCTTCCCAGAAAACCCAATCTAGAATGGAAGAGATGCGGGAGCTTTTTCAGAGTGACATGAGTGAGAAAAAACAGAAAAGAAACCCCCAAGGAGGTGGGAAGAAGAAATCCTCATTCAAAAGCAAGTCAAGGTATGAATCTGGTCATGTTTCTCTTGTCATATCCTATATGTAGAGTCTTGATACACTGGCCGAATGCTGAGTACTCCAAAGATAAACTCTGCCTCATAAGTTTTTAAAAGGCCATGCGAGTGGCTAAAACATAGGATCTGGTTATGCCTAATGTTAAGATTTTTGGACGTCAGAGGTTGGAGAGTATATCATATTGTCACATATGTATTGACTTGAGCTTGTTGCTTGAGTTGCGCAGTAGCAGTTTGATCTTCTGCATGGGCCTGGAAGTTGGTAATGGGCGATGCAGGATAGCAATGCTATTCAAAATGTGTTCTTAAGACCATTGTTACTGATGCAGGTACAAACGGAGGTAGCAGAACAAGCAGAAGAGAGATTAGATTACACTGAAAGTAGAGATGCGTTTTTTGTTTCAGAATTACATCTGACCGACCTTGTGCAAATATATATTTTTTTAAATTGTAGTAGGGCTGTAATATAGCTGTAAGTGTTTCTCAGTGGACGGTGATTAATTATTCACTTCTGTACATTCATTTTTGCATAAACAGTGTTTTACGTCTTACCTCTAATTATTCAGGTAGTGAGTAGCAAACTCATGATATCATCCTTGGCGACTTTTTGTAAACTCAAGCCACTTGGGAATCGAAGTAAAAAAAAAAAAAAAAAAATTCCTCGTTTATTAGCTTGGCAAACAAAGTTTTTCTTCTTCTTCATTTTTTTTTTTTGTTGGAGACAATCATGAAGTAACTGTGCCTCTGATTATGTTGTTTCTGCTTTACTAGTCGATGCATATGTTGCATTTAGTTGATGAAAATTTTCACTGGTTTTTAGTCACGCAGGCAAGGAGGAAGTGTGAAAGGACGGCACCTTATTTCGAGAATTTTTTTGAAAGAATAATGATCGTACTAGTTGCTTAGTCTCCAAACAAATAGCTCCGATTCGACTGTAATCGTCGTCCCTGCTTTCCCATTTCGTCGTAGAGCGTTTGATACCCCGTTACTAAACTAGTGAAATGAATGAAACGGATTTGTTTTACCCTCATCTAATGCATTCTGAATTACCGACGTGCAAATCCCTCGCGGACTAGACTCGCGAAGAACTTCAAAACCTCAAAGACTAGACTTGCGAAGAGTTCAAACCTGACGCGGCCAGTTCATGGATGGGAGAGTTACCAAAACAGACCTGGTCGGTCGCAGAATATGATCGGTCCGACAGAACTTTCGGGGCAGACGGATGACTCTCACGGACAAATTTTAAGGCAGAGCAGGTGGCTTTCCTAGTTAGCAGTCAAACTGATGACAAAACTAACGGTCAAGAGAAACATGGGTATCAGATAAGACCACCATCCATGTGAATTTCTGTGTTTGTATTCCAGGTTGTCCACCAGAGACATGTATGGCTGGCTGGCATCGTGAGAGTGCACAATGCCTGATTGGTACCCTCTCCTGTAAAACTTTCGTTGATAGTATATATTAAGGATCAGGGCTACAACTAACACAGTTCTCTGTAGCAACAATGGCTTTCTATGGAATGCAAGAGAAAAAGCAAGAAATTCTTTTAGACATTGTGAAACAATTAAGCCTAAAACCTAATCACCTTTTGGGCATAAATTTCATAAATCATATGACCTCTCCGCTATCCCCCTCTTTATTCAATTCTGTCAAACCCGCCGCCACCTCCTAAACTGTTTGTACAAATTCCTCCTATCTCGATAACTTAGGCTGTAAGTCCACTACCCGTGTTCATTCATACCAAGAAACGGAAACTTCGCACTATTTCCATGGGGGTGGATTGTGTCTGATACTTGGGTAAATCTCCCACCCGCTATCTGGTTCTTTGCGTTTCACACCAGCACCCGAACTCGTCGATGCTTGTGAATTAGTAGAATTGAAGGGGTCATCCATCAACCTGGGCTGTCCTGGGCTCAAATATTGTCTTAAGCCTCCAGTGTCTCTGTTTCCTCCCTCAAGTATCAGACCGGAGTTCAGGTCAAAGCTATTCCGAGGAGGCCCAGCTCCATTTAAAGCAGGTGTGGTGCCAGTCATGCCCAGTAAAATTGGCTGGTGGGAAAAGACAGGAGGAAGAGCTGGAGCCGAGCCCATAACTTGAGGGATAGGCGTTCCTCTAGAATCCAACATGTAGGGAATGGGGCCACCAGGCCCATACATTGCTGAGGTGAAAGCCACAGTGGGCCCACTGTAACCGTATACTGGAGAATGAGTATATGGAACAGTAGGTCCAAGAAGACCCCCTGTTCTTCCCACATTGGCATCAAGTGCAGGCTCTAGACGCCTCCCATTCAGTGAAGGCAGAGATTGAGGATCTTTTCGGTTCACCTCCACCCGCATGCCCATGATGGATATCACAGAGTCATCAGATCTTTTGGCACCAGGTGCGTTAAAACTTTGAGACAACTTGCTTAGAAAGGGATGATCTGAAGAGTCATTCATGGAAGATGGCTGATCGCTCAGATTCAGATCAATATTCCTCAGAGAAGGTTGCCTAGACGATGATGATGATGAAGGAGATTGGCTCTGATAGCCATTCCTCTGGTGAAGGACCAGTCCCTCTGTCCGCCAGTCCGATGGAGCAACACCATCATCACTCACACGGTTGAGATCCAATTCAATCCTTTCTAATCGTCTCGGACTTGCTTCAACAGAAGATTCCCCGGAAGGCAACCCAGATGACACTGGAATCTGTTTTTGCAACAAAGGATCTGTAGGTTTTTCATATAAACTTTCATCTGCATTCAGATCAATATCCAAACAGCCATCACGCTGTTTTGAGCTACTGTTGCTTCCTCCAGTTGAATGAGCCTTATCTGCTTCAGGAATTCGGCGAGGTGATGCTGGGCGGAAAGCACTTGTGGCAGCAGATCCTTTCCATCCAAGAGCACCCTCAAACTGCAGTGGTGCAACTGGCATTCCAGGAGCTGCTGCAGCCCTTGAAGCAGAAACAATGGAAATAGGCATAGAGCTTGGATTTTCCGGGCGATCTACATCATCTGAGCAAACTTCCTGATTCAAGTCAAAATTGCAAAGACCTCTTTCAGGATTGGCTGGTAATTCTTGAGCCACATCGGTGACCTGAGAGCATTCCATTTCAGGCGCCCCATTTATTCGTTCAGCATCCAGACTTCCTGCACTAGTTGCTCGCTCTTCTTCCCTAAGTGATGAAGCTTCAGCTGCCAGATCTGGTGCAGTTGGCACCTCCCCAGCTGAGTCTTCCTGGGCATGTATTTGAGGCCCACATGCAGAGTCTGGGCTGTCTGGCTGCTGAATTTCACCTCCTGGTACTCTATCAGAAGAAGAGCCGCTATTTTCTCTGCAGTCCACTTCTCTCTTCACCTCTATGGCAACTAGTCGAGCAACTTCTATTGCATCGAAATTATCATAATCTAGATCAGTGTCAGATCTATTTGGAACCACTTTAGGATCTCTACCAGATTCCGAAAACTCAGCCGGATGATCCTCACTTTCATCACTAATGTGCTCCTCAACTCTGTCAATCTCCCTAACACCTTCTATCCTAGACAAAAATGTTCCACACTCATCAGTTCCACATTTGCCACGAACTACTGTGCTTCTGTGGTCATTTGCAGCCGTACAATCATTAATCCCACTTTTTCCCCCAGACTTAACTGCACTAACATCACCGAGAGAGGAAGTTTTCCTACAAGGGTCTTGGATTTCCGTATCAGTGTTTCCCTGTAATCCCGATTCTGAAGCACCACCCACAGCATTTGCAGCATCTTCTGATACCCCCGAGTCTTTGTCTACGTCCAATTTCTTAGGAGCACTTCCAATTTTCTGATGTTGCTCTGCATCACTAGTGTACTCTAACCTAGACCCACTAATCTGCTCAATGGGAGTATCTTGTTTTACTACTGTGGAACTGCAAATTTGTATTGGGGAGCTACTTTCTGGACAGCATGCATGGGTCTCCATCTTATTACAGATCTGACATGAGAGAACTTCTGGGACTCAAAAACATCCCAGCCATGTCATGATATCCTTGGGTGAAATGACAAACCACGCAACAAAGAAATGCCAAGCAAACCCTTTCTCTGATCCCCTGCAAAACAAAATACCATAATTGAGACACAGAAGAGCAACTCTTATTGGCACTCCAAATTCATTCTTCAATATTGAGAAACAGAAAAGTACATCAAATTGCCATTTCCAAGTCAATGGAAAGATATTTGGCAAATAAACACATGCCTAAACTAGGGCTCATTCTTCCAAACTAAAGAGACAAATAAACAGGTTTCTAATTTAGGAATTTTTCAAAAAACAAAAATTGTACAGATTCTAGTAAAAGACCATGCCTAAGAGTACATGCCTTCAGTGAAGACCTCATCTGCCAAAAAAGAAAATGAAGGGGTAAAATGGGGGGAAGAAACCCAAATTAAGGTAACCTGTTGTAGAAGACCTTAAGTAGTAATACCAAAAACACCAGCCCCTATCAAAGATCAGGAATCAATTGAGATTAATATGGAATAGTAATGCTTCTGAAAAAAAAAACCATTTCTGACCTTGTCAAAGACCATGCCTAAGACTAAATATCTCATTCAGGACAAAAATATTCCGAGCTTTGTGGTCAAAATTTTTCACAAGTTAAACCAGAAAAAGTATAGGAAAAGATACAGGTCTAAACATTGAAAAAAAATGCAGTCCCCATGCTACACAATCATGACAGCTAACAACATGATATCCACCGGTATCTAGCTAGAAAGTTATACATGGTAGTTACTGGTGAAGCCAAAGAATCACACAAAGCATGGCTTTCAGTTGTTGCTCTTGCAACATTACACACCAACAGAAGCCAAATAAGAGGCCTATTTAACCAAAAATTGAACCTAAGGTTCAAACATAAAAAAAAATGAAGGCTAAATAAAGTGGCAGCACAAAATATCCCCAAATATCAAGCAATCAGCATCACGTGATTTTCCAGAGGACTTCTAAATTAGGACTCTCTTGGAAGCAAAAATTTTGGACAAAGACGAAGAGTCTCTCAGATGTTTAAAAACACTTTTTCCATTTGGTCTTGAACTTTGGCCACATAACAGGGCCAATAAATCCAGTAATTAAGGGAAGTAATTTGAAGGTGCAAACAAGAAAAACCAGGAGCATCTTTTTAACTAGCAAATAATTTTCTGAATGAATCTTCGAAGTCTGAGTAATTCCAATATTAAATTGAAGTCAGTATCAATTTTGTTGGATATCTAAACATAGAATATGTCATCAATACTCTCTTTGGAGAAAGATTTAGTATATAGTACACCAAAAATTCAATGTCCTGGAGTTATTGAATGCCTAATTGGATCAACTAATCCCTTTCCAATTCAAAACCCAAAAGCTAACAACAATTGAACATTTCCAGGAAAGGTCCTTGGAGATATCGCTAGATTATAATTTCAGATTGCATAAGAATTGTTATTAACAATCCAGACAAAATTAGCTACAGAAGAGAATCAATTAACAGCACATATAATAATATAAATAAGTTAAATTTACATCATTAATGTTCCTTTACAAACTCTCTTAATAAAATATGAACAAAAGAATAACAAAAAGATAGAAATCATTAAAGCAGACGAAGAAGAAGAAGAGGTAATTAGTAATTGGGAATTGAGTAGAAAGAAATTACCAGTTCCCAAAGGATGGTAGATCAAATAGAGATAACAATAATAAAAATAAACTCTTCCCAATCCGAATCACCAAATGCCAGCAATCTGTTCCAGGGAGGAAAAGGTCAAATGGCAGCTATGTCTATACTGGTAGGAAGAATCAGCAAAACAACTGGACAAAATATCCAGAAAAGAAACATTAGAACACAGAAAAACACCCCCACAATCACAAACTTTCTTTGAAAACCACGGGAACCACATTTCACCAACTTACAAGGTCTCCCCCCCCCCGGGGGGTCTTCTCCTCTTTCTCAGCGAAAAACAATCAGCCAAAGAAAAACTGATCTAGGGTTTTATAAAATCCACGAAGAAAAAGGTGTTGATTTGAATTTCTAGCCGCCATGAAAGTTCAACCTTTTCGATGAACAGAGAAGAAATGAAACCTTGAACTGAAAACTCATACATGAAATTCTCAATTACGTTATCTTTAGGCTATGTATGTAAGTAAACATAAACATGAACCAATTGAGACACCAATACGGGAAGAAAATAGATGTACAAGATTTACTGAAACCAAAGGTAATAAATGCAGCAATATATAGAATTAAAAACGCCAAACCCAAACATGGAAACAAATATCTATATATTCCCAAAAAAAAAAAACGAAACAATTACAGTACTTAATGTTAACAAAATTAAATCTTTAACCCTCTTTCAGAAATGGAAAAACCCTAACTTCAAAAACTCTAAGTTCCAAACCTAGCCAAAACACGAAAATTACAAAACAGATTAACGGAAACAATTAATCAATTCTGATAATTGATGCTTAAAGACATTGAAAATCCTTACCTTTGAACAAAATATAGTAAAACCCTAACTCCAAACTCCAGCTCCCGAGTTCAAAGTTGAGTCTTTCAGGCTTTTTTGATGAACCCACTTCCTTTCTTTCCCTCAAAATATTTTTATTCTCCTTTGTTGAGTTTCTATAAATATATGAGCAAAAATTTGTTAACTTCCCCTTTTCAGACGCGAAATTTTCTCTTTCTATCTATCTCTCTCTTTCTCTCTTTTTACGGTAATTTTTTTTTTTTTTGGTATTTTTCCGTGCAAAAGACTTTTGGGGAGAGAGGGGAAATGAAACGTTTCTCGTTGAGCAGAGGGATATAGAGAGAGAGAGAGAGAGAGATTTGTGATTTCCAATTTGGTATTCGGAATTTTCCAATTTTTTTAGTAAATACATTCCTATATTCTCATCCTGGCCTGCTGGCTGGTTCACATTTCACAATTGGGGGGCTGCCACGTGCCGCACGTGCCTTGGAGATAAAGCGGAATTTGCGTAATTGGGATATTCCGGGTCGGGGCAGCTCTTATTGAAGATAAAAGTAGAGCTGTAAACGAATCGAATCGAACCGAGTATCTCATGTTTGAGCTCTGTTCGTTAAGCAGTTCGAACAACGTTCGTGTTCGTTCGTTAATTTTCGAACTCCAAACTTGTGTTCGTGTTCGGTTCGTTAAGTAAAATTCGTGTTCGAGTTCGAGTTCGAGTTCGTGCTCGGCTAGTTTAACATAAACGAGCCGTTCGCGAACATGTTCGAAATGCTCGAATCCAAATTATTTTATGCTTTAAATATGCCATGCAAATTATTAATTATTCTTAAAAATAATTAAAGCACTAAGTGACTAAATTCTATTATTCATTAACTATATAACTAACATTAACATAAAAACAACAAATAAAACAAAGAAATTTGCCCTCCAAATATAAAAGTCCAGCCATAAAATTAATCCTGAAATTTGTCAAATGATAATTATGTCTATGTTCACGAACATTCGTTAAAACTCGCGAACATACTCGTGTTCGCGAACGTTCGTTTAGCATGCTCGCGAACGTTCGTTAAAACTCGCGAACATGTTCGTGTTCGCTCGATTATTAATCGAACAAAAAAATTCGTTCGAACTCGGTTCGTTTAAAATTTCGAACGAGCCTTTCACGAACACGAACGAGCCGAAACGAACCGAGCTAACGAACAACTCGGTTCGTTTAACAGCTCTAGTTAAAAGGTCGCAGAAGATTTTGTTCTTTGTCCTTTTTTTTTTTTTTTAAAGAAAAGAAAAGGTCCACCAAGAATGCCTTAAGATCAAAATAATACCCTTACGGGAGATATGAAAAGATAGATTATGAAGCTCAAAAGTTACTCCCAACCAATCTTCTCTGAAAGTACAAATACTTTTAGAATTAATGTTTGCAATATGGGCTTTGATGTTATGAAGTACTCTATTTTTGTTTGAAATGAACCCTTTTAGATATTGCATTTTCAATCTTGGAGCTAAGAAATCAAAAAATTTGTGCATGACATTTGCTCGCTTGGTAAAAGGTCCAAATTTGAATAATTTAATGTTGGTCAAGTAGTAGTATAAACAGATATCACCAAAATGGAAAAAGAGTAATTATTCACAAAGGAAAAGCTTCAAGTCAAAGTTGGAAAGGTTTTTGATGAGCTAAACGTAAATGAGAACGCTTTTTTTTGCACTTTTGTAATTTTCCTTTTCACCCGCAGGATTTATCCTAAAGACACGTGCGCGCCATACAATTTTGCCTGGTTCATGCTGATTAATTTTTACACATCAAGGATGGTATATGTAATTTCTAGTATCAACAACTACGCCATAATGTATTATAGTACGTGTCGATCGACCGACTGGATAAAAATGATTGGCATTGTGAATATGGGTACAAAAATGTGCCTGTATTGTAAATTATTCGAGATAATTTTATGAAATAAAAAAATAATTAAAAAATATATTAAAAAGTCAATACGTGTCATTAATATGTAACAATTTACAATCCAAATACACTACTAATTATTAAGGTGCGAACAGAGCAACAAATTTTATCACGTAGAATTAAAAATTCTTTAAGAATTTATCAATAATAATAATATGAATCAAAGCCAAATTCGCGTAAACTCTCTACTCTTAAGCAGACCATCATCAATTGCAAGGTGTAATTAATTGTTAGCGTAGCTGTGTATTCCTAGGCCCCAATGCCGGGGATGGGGGGACCACAGGTGGCTGAATTGGCAGAGCAATGATCAGTAAGAGCAAAAGAGGAGACAGCTAAGCGCAGGAGTTGAAGGGGTTGAAGTTGAGGCACAGTCCAAAGAGGTGTCAAAATCAAAAGAAGGGAGGGACTGAGGTGTGGGGCTTTTTGCTGAAAGGGCCTTCCTTTGTTTTTCCTGCTTTTTCTTTTGATGGTAAGTAAACTTGAAAGATGGGAGGAGAAGGTCCATTCCAAGCAGGTGAGGTGGAGCCTTCTCCCCTGAAAAGGAGAGGAGCTTATCCTCGTCACTGTCTTCGAGTCATTATTGTCTCCACAGCTTTGTCACGTGGCCTAACACGTGTTTATTTCTTCCTACTAATACGCTAGTAAATCGCGAAGAGCTCGGCTTTGTTTCTCGTACTGCTGCCACAAGTACTAATAACAATTGGAGAGATTCTGTTCTACAAATAATAATGAGTGTGTTTGGATTGTAAGTTATTTGAAATATTTTTACTGTAACACTTTTTGTGATGTGATGTATGTGAGATAAAAAGGTAATTGGGAAGATAAAAAGGTGTATTGGAAATTGTAATGGTGATGTCAGCAAATATATTTGGCCAAATAATTGGCTGTCCAAACACACTCAATAGTTAGTAGCAGGATCAGCCATCCTCCACTCCAGGGCTCATGAGCGTGCAATTAATAGAAAAACATTATTACTATTAAGATTTTGAGTAAATTTATCAGTATCATTTTTAAAAAGAATTAGTTTCATATCTTTGATAATGGATATTAAAAAATTCATCAAAATAAGGCAGACAGTCATTTAAAAATAATTCATAATCATGGAGCATCAATCACCACGTTAGGAGCACTTATTATGGAGCTTAATCGGAATAATATCCAAATAAACCAAAATCTCATCTAAATTACTGCAAATTAAAAGAACCAAATATTATCTGACTAAAATTAAACAAACCAAATCTCACGCACATACTCGTGTTCTTATTGATTGCTTATTAGTTATGCTCAGAGAACTTTAATTTGGTCATAAATGCTCTGGGAGCAAGAAGTTTTGAAGGTTCAAAACTCCTTGATGGGCTTCAATTGGATAAACCAATCGCCTGCCCTGTGTCCTCCTCAATTCTTTTATGCTCCATTATTTTTGTAATTAATTCTCATTGAATACATCTCCTTGCAAACCTTGCCAATTCCCTCCTATATATTGTAAATTATTACTATAAAAAAAAAAAAGAGCATAAAATCCAAAGAGCGTGCAATAGTACATTCCTTTGCGTGGAGGTGAGATCCTTTGCCACGCCACTTACCTCATACAAAAACCAAACTTGAATCCCTACGGATGAGACTGCCCCTCAATACCGGCCCAATACTCTATACGGACCGATGCCTACGGATGCTACTGCCCCTAGTATCGGCCCAATACTCCAACGAGCTTTACATCAAGCGCCTTGGTCGAGTAGTAGTGGGTAGAAAAATGAAAAACAATCTTAAAGCTGCTAGATGATGACTTGATTTCTGAAACTATAGTGATATATTAAGTGGAAAACGGAATCTCTTCAGCTTGTAAGTCCGTTGAAGCGACATACTCATCCCGCTGCACAGCAAAAAGAATTCACAAAAGCCATGTGCAGTTAGAGACGCAGATCGTTCCTGAGCAAACGAAGAAGAGATGTGCTGCCCTTTGATTTATTCCTCGTGTCCAGAGGCACTTTTTTCTCCCCCCTACCTCCCTGCACAATAATAGTCATTTGAACCTGGTAAAGTTTTCTCCCTCTCGGATTACCGCATAAAGCTTCTATACTTCACTTGTATCCTGCCTTCAAGGAGAAAGATTACATCCTACTCCCATAAACACAGCTTAGACACCATTCTCATCAAGGTTATTCCCTTCCCAGTTTCTGAAAAAATAAAGGGTTAATCGCAATTACTTTATCCCCTAACATTTAATTTTGTTCACTTAACTCCTTATAGAACAAAATTACCCTTCTATTATTTTAATTTTTCATTTATCTTTTTTCCTCTCTTTTATTTTTTTTTCTCTTTCTTCCTTATTCTCTCTTTTATCCTTCTCATTCATCTCAATGAAAATTTTTATCTTGAATTTGTAATTACATTTTTTGGTGAAAGTTTAAACTTTAAAAGACATCAAAAATTAATTTTGATTTTTTGCATGATACCATGTGTCACAATTTTTAATTGATGATTATTAAATTTTATTTTATGATATTTTTTTGAAAATAAAATGAGAAATTAGAAAGAAAAAAGAAAAAATCAAAATTAAAAGAATTAAAAGACCAAAAAAATTGTATTTTAGAAAAGTGATTTGAATATTTTGTAATCATTTAAGAAGAATATAAGTCTCTGCAATTTTTCTTTTTTAATTTTAATCATTAAGATGAAAATTTTTTATGAGAAAGAGAAAGAATTAAAGAAAGAAGAAAGAGCCAAAAAAAAAAAAAGGACCACAAAAGGAGAAAGAAAAAAATAAAAAAAAAATAAGAGTTTAGAATGATAGAGGAATAATTTTATCTAATAGGGGATAAAGTGAGACAAAAAAATGATTAGTGGGTAAAATGAAAAATGAGGTATACTTTAAGGAGATTAATTGTGATTAATCCAAAAATAAAACCACACTTTTTTTTTCCAATAGAGGCTGAGTGTGGAAAAAAAATATTTCTATATGTTCATATGCAGAATCATAAATCAAGGAACTCTCTTTAATACTGGGGGTCAGCGCTCATGTTGTACGTTTTCTCAGTAACTTGGCATTTTAACTTGTTATCCTGTATATTTTCTCCCGAGTGCTGTCGTATCAGAATCAGGTTATAGCAACAAACATCGTCAGCTTGTATCAAGTAAAATCTGGCATTACCTTTGACTTGTCAATGTCGTCCTCTACTGCAACACTACCAATATCCTTCAATAAAGTGGACGAGGCTGGTAGAAGTCTCCTGAAAGTACACAGTGCAAGAGAAAGGAAGCAAATGAATCATTTAAACTAAAGCTACTAATGCAAAAAAACAAAACAATTCAACAAGTGATAGCAAATAAAACATTGTTACAAGGATCTACACCAATAGACCTTTTCGGCTTCTCTGTTTTTCTGGAACTGGAAATATCAAGTGAACAAGTGTCCAGAGCAGTGCAGTCCCGAGTGTCTTCCACCAAAGATGCATTTTCCCTAGGCATTACAGTTGCTGATGGATGCAGCTTTTTCTACAGCAGACATGAAAATTATTTACCTTTAGTTGCTGATTGCACATTTCCTGTAAGTAACTCTTAAAGAGTTCAAAACACAAGCTTAATCTAAAAGGCAAAAATCCAAATGTTTCTTTCACCAAATTATAATGATCTTCATTATTATTATTATTTTTTGAAATCTACAACAGTACTTTTATATAGAATTTATATGTATCTATCAGTAGCATTGATTATTGCCAGTAAAACAATTTCTTCCAATGCACAAATGTAATTCAGAGACCTTAACCCATATGAACAGTAACAAAATATCACGCCTGTTTTAAGAATGTACAAGAAATTTATATAAAGTTACAAAATATTCAAAAAATGTTACACTGTTCAGGGACGGTTAATATCCTGCCCCGCTCCCGATCCATTCACATATTGGTAAGCGGAGGGAAAGAAATGTCTGCTACAGGTCAGAGGTCCAAGAGTATTAATATCTAAACTGTAGTTCACTCATAATTTTCTAAATAATATTTAGAGTGATTCAGCATCCAACTGCAGCAAAGAGCCATTTGAGCAGATACATAGATGCACAATTTTAATTTAGTGATATCACTGAATACTAAAAAGAAAAAGAACCCAAAAACAAAGAAAAAGTCACCTCCTCGTGTGGCAATGGGTCCATCTCAACTGCAGAAGAGTTGTCACAACTTGTTATTACAGGTGAAGCAGAAATTGCAGGTTCCTCCACTGAGCAAACACAAGTTTCTTTGTTTTTCACAAACAACTGCAAACAGCTACTACCATATTCTGAATCATCTGCAAGAGAATCCCCCAATTAATAACTGGAGATACTAAACAATGACTATCAGTGCCAGGTGATAATCTTGAACTTAAAATGCCAAGGAAGCACCAAAAGGAGCCCTACCAAAAGGCAATAGGCTAATATCAGAAAATTTCAACGTAGGTAAGTAATTTCATATGTTTAAGGATGTGAAAGTTTTACATGTTGAGCGATTACAGCATAACATGAATGTGACACTGTCAACAGTTAACTAAATTTCTAGGAGACTATTCTGCGTATGGACTTTGTTATGAAGTTAATTTCATTCACTGTCACAGTGATAATGCTTAAGCAGAAAAAAATAAATAAATTTGAAAAATGGCAGTAGTATTTTTGTTCCATAATTAAATGTAGAAGCATAAGGATGCCAGGGAAGCACAGATGATAGTGCTATAAGTTGTTCATCAAACCTGTTCCTTCAGTCTCTGTCGTTTTATCATCTCTCTGGACATTATTCACATCCATAAGAGTCCTAATATTGTTGACACTAGAATGATCTTCCTCATCATACTTCAAACGTTGAAAATGTTGACCCAGACCAGCAGTTTCAGCAGCTTCTTCACATCTCTCTTTAACACAATCCTGCGAAGCAATGCAAACAGAAGTTGCTTCATCCTCCGAATGCATATCTACTGCTTCCAGATCTTTTAAATCCTGTGAACTTTCAGCAATACTAATATGTGTGCGTAACTTCTCATCTTTCTGATCATTGTGCTACAAGATGGTTCAAAGGTCAAGTTATAGGGGAAAGGAAAACAGGAAAACAAAACAGATGAAAAAGAAAATCCTGATCTGCCAGTTTTAATTGACGTAGTACCTGATAATTCTGATCTTGAGAAGAATCAGTTCCAGTACATAAACCAACCAAACAGGAGCTACTGACCTGGTTATTAAACCACATTATATTAGGAGATTGAGCATTAAAAAATCAGGGCAAAAGAAAGAAGTTTTCTTATCTTCAGTACCCCAGCTGAAGGTACTTCAGGAAAAGAAGATATCAGTCTCAAATGTCTAACTTCTTTTTCTAGATCAGAAGATCTTCGTTTTTCACAAGTTAAGTTGTCTCTTATACAGCAGATTTCGTTTTCAGCCATCTGCATGTATACAAGCTTTGGTTTAGAAATATGGAATATGTCAAGCAATACATCGCACACTATTCCCGATCTGATGGACTGCATCTGATAAAGTACATAAACGAGCATAAAAAAACCCCTAATACCTCAAGCTTTTGCTTATATTGTTTCAGGACATCCCATAAAGCTTTAGCAAAATTCACCATAATCTGATATTCTCTTTCCCTTTTTGTCAATTCAATACGGTCCTGTTTGATGTATATTCCTTCCGTCACTTTGCAACTAACAGGTTCTTCACTCTCAACTAAAACCTCTGTTAAGCTTCCATTCTCATCCTTTGTTTCTAAACATATTTCACAAGACAAGCACTCCTTAGTGAGGGGAATGTTAAAAAGGAAAATTAAATAAGCTTAGGAGAAAATAATGAACCTTCTATCCGTGGTTGATCTCCAAAGACTGCTGTTTTACTGATCTGGAAACAGAAAAATTCTAGAGTAGTAAAACATATGCATGTAAACACATACTTACTTTGCCGAAAAAGTTTATGATGTCATGTGTAGAACTATAAACTAGTGACCAATTGCATCCGATTATGAAAGAGGTAGACAAGAGATTTCAGACAACGGCAAAGGGATTAACACAATTGCTCGCGTAGACACAAGCATATTAATCAATCAGCACAAATTAGGATATCTGAAGGAATCATATAATACTACCATGTCCAATACAAGCAAAATAAGAAAAGATCACAAAGAAAGCAGGCCACTGAACACTCTTTCCATTCAGAAAAGTGTATGGATAAGAATATGTACCGAAGAAGCTTCCACAGAACTAAACTTCATTCTCTTGCTATGTTCTGCCCCATGCAAAACTTGAGTGGGTCTCTTAGTAGATTTGTTTTTTGCAGGTTCTTCAATGCCTATAAACCTGCAAGGTAAAAAATTATGTTCAGAAGCTAAAAACCAATTAGAAGCAGAAGCCCACCTCGGTAGAAGAAAACTCCTTACTTAATTTGTGCATATGGTGATGCCTGCTTTAAAAGATTTGAAGTTTCAAGATAATCTTCTGCTCCAGGTTTTAAGGTTAGTACCTAAAAATTGTCACTCGAGAAATACAAATGAGTCGAATTTTTTAACTTTATAATATGCAAGATCCAGATATTCAACATTTAGCATGAGACCCATGATGTTGGAAATAAAAGAATTGCATACCAATGCCATCCGTTTCTTGCCTTCTAAATATTCTCTCAAGTATCTGGTTAACTGTGGCAAGAAAAATAGCCAGAGTGAAGATATGATTTAATCAGTAGAGGTAACTTCAAGACTCGGGAATGTTTCTGAAGAACAGAGCACTTACAAAAACAAGTAAGCAAGGAAAAAGAAGGCATTACCAAGGAGTTCTGGAAGTGTTTTTGCAATGGCTTTTTGGGATTCTTCTGATGCTCCAATAATGACTGAAAATTGAGGATTAAATTTAAATCATTGCACATGGATACAGACAAAATAAAGGAACATCACGGAACTAGCAACAAATAATTCTTCAATCTCCAGTGAGAGAAACTTTTAAGAATGTGAGACTTTTCTTTCTTTTCTTTCAAAATTATATGATATCTGCTTACATACCCTTAAGCAAAGCCCAAAAACCATGGATGTGTTATTGATAAAATTACTCTCGAGCATTCTGAGCCCCTGTCATCAATACAACCATGCACAAAGTCAGTAGTATGAAAACAATGTTCACCAAAGATCAATAAAGTTCAACCTATGTTACACAGGTGACAACTCAACACAAATTCATTCAAGTTGAAGGATCTCATCAGGCTGTAATAGGGCCACATTCAAAGCTTGAGTGTCAGATTTCCTTATCCACCGATAAGCAATGATGTTGAAAATGTAAGTCCATGCCTCTATAACCAAGATATGATGATAGGTTAATGTTTCCTTCTGAAACTGTAAACTGAATATTTACAAACTATTTATGATGAATCTTGCAAGTCAATCTGTAATATTCATGATAGCAAAGCTTGAAGCCCTCTTGCTATATTAAAGCTTCAACAATCTCAAGGGAAGCTGATTACAATTAAAAATTTAGTTGGCAGATACATACAAAATAAATTTGTAATAAGAATTCGAGACCCAAATTCCAGACAAATTTTACAGTCTCCAGGGAAGCAGATTACAGTTAAAAGTTTGGTTGACAGATGCATACACAACGAATTTGTAATAAGCTTTTGAGAACCAAATTCCAGACAAGTAAAACATTTTTATAACTTTTTGAAATATTTTTTATAATGAATTAATTAGTCTCCTTGTACTGATGCCACTGAAATAAGAAGTCCTGTCATCCAATGCAATTGACTGATCTGCAAATTATGTAATGGTTTTGACTACCTGGTTTCCTGTCTTCTTTTCTCTTTCAGCTCCAGCAAGGTCAACAATTGTCAAGGAAGTGCTTTTTGGTTCATCATCAAACTCCCCATCATTACTATTAGGGGTGCAGCAAATGTTGATAATGCATTGTGAACGACTGGACAAATGTACTGTTTTAGTTTAAGATGAGGTTCAAACTAAACAAAGTAACTAATACTACAATGCCATAAGAGCAACAGTGAACATGGGTAGGGAAAACCAAAAGACAAGCATACAGGTAACCTGAAAATGCCTTTAAACAAATGAAAAAACAAAAGACAAGCATACACGTAACCTGAAAATGCCTTTAGTTGACAGACAACACAAAATTCTACTTTTATCAGCTATAAAAACATTACAGTAGATCAAACACAAACCTTGATTGACTATTTGAATTAGTTGCTGCCGTAGCACGTCTTAGCAATCCATGTGCAATTAAAGATTCAGCTTGTTCAGCGTGTCTGATAGTGACCTGTTCCAAAAACAGGATAATAACCAAATCACTATGTCTGAAATGTTGGTAACATTCTGACAGGCTAATCAAAAAACCAGTGACTGCAGCAGCACAGATGAAAAGGGAGATCAGAAAGCATACCTCGTTGAGGCCCTTGATTGCTGATTGTTGTAGGGAAATCTCACCCTCTTCTTGCAGTAAATCAAATATCCGTTCTGATTTTCCTTTCTCGGAACAGATTTCAAACATCGACAAATAGAAGGTCCTGCATAATTTGATAGTGAATAAAGGAGACAAAAATCTTTCATATTTCCTGCATACTAATATTCATTATCATTCATGTTGCAAGAACATGCACAACAATCCATCTACTCCAACTAAAACGTTATTGAAATTTTAATAAAGGGTACGCTGATTTGGATAAAGAAATGTGTAGAAGTACCGGCACCGCGAAACCTGATTCCCATTGCTTTTGTCCTCTGAGAATATGCGACGCAGGGCTAGAGGTACCATACCAGGCTCTCTAATACACCCAAAAACTGTATGCGTCTTTCCCGAGCCAGTTGGACCTAATGCGGCCAACATTCCACTCTTTCCCCTCAAAAAATCCTCAACCAATGGATGCACTAACTTCTGATACACTTCAGCCTGCAAAACCGAAGAAAACTCGTCCAAATAGTCAACAGTTTTCTCAAGCATTACAACCACTCGATCAGAACGAACCTTATAGCTGATAAAGAAAGATAGAAGTAACCTGAGATGATTCATCAGAGAAAACGTGAGAGAATCCTTCATAGACCACAGACTTGATGCGCTTACTTTCCTGCAAACTACTAGGGGGTGAAATTGTAACAGAGTGCGGATCATTGACCGTCACGCAAATTTCATTGCTATTTTTCACTTTATTTTTTGGCAAGTGTTTGGCTTTAGGATTTTTTGGCCAAGCATTTTTTACGACCTCGCCTCCCCTTTTGTTCTGTTTATGGGCATTTTGGGAAACAGTAAGGGGACGAATTCTTAGAAATACTTTCAAATTCTCCGACTCAGGCTTTCTCTTAGGGTTTTGAGATGAAGAAAACGAGTCGATTTCACGAGGTCTTTGAGTTTCAGACAGCTCAACAGAAAGAATGTCTGGAGTGGGAAATGAAGGGATGTGGGGGGGAATTGGCGGCGAGGATAGAGGTAATGGAAGGGGAACTGTGGAAGACGGCGTCGGCCTGGCCTTCCGGTGAGGGTTCCGGCGGACCGTAACGGTCTTCGGACACGGAAAAGGACTCTCCATCTCCGCCAAATGTTTGATTTGAAAAAAGTGAAAATTAGCGGCAAGAAATCGGGGGTGGGAAACAAGGACGGCAATTTGAACGACAGAACCGGGTGGGAGATGGGGCAGGTTTCGGTTCTACCCGGTGATATTTTGTGGACGCCCAGGGCTTTTGAACTGGAAAATCGCGTTGGGCCCAAATATTAGATGTTCCGCCAACGAAAATGGGCTATTGATGTTGCTACAGCACTTCCTTTTCTTTTTCTTTTTTTTTTTTTGCCCTTCTGTGCCTTTGAGGAAATACTCACAAAAGTGCATTTTGTTTTAAAGAAGTGGAAAAAAAATAAGGAAATTCCATGAACAACGAATTTATTCACGTTATTGCTTTTTTCCCCCTCAACAGACGAAAAGAAAACATGCGAGGAGGAGTTCCTTGGATTGTCAGCCTTTTTTGTCTCAATTCAAGAAATGAAAACCGAAAAAGTTGCAAAGAAAATAATGAGAAAAAGAGAGTAACACGCTTCACACAAGTACAGGATTGAGCTAGTTGGAGCATCAACAATTTAACGCTACGAATAGGCAACGGCCAATCCCATGTACAATCAGAAGGAGGACCTAAAATTGGAGAGCAAGCAACGGAGGAACTGAACTCCTCAAATGTTTGACAGCCACCCAGAAAACCAGAAGGTAACAAATTATTTAACATTTGATAGTACAACATTTGAATTCCTTCAAGTCAAGTTTTTATTTCCGAAGAACAGTAATAAATCCAGAAGCCCTGCTGCGTGCAGCTGCATTTTAAGACCAACTAAGTACACGATGCAAACATATGAAGAAGTCGTCGTCGTCGTCGTCGTCGTCAAAGCAAGGTAGGAGGAGGGGCAGCAGACTGAGGAGGTCTGTTGCCAAGCATGTGAACAATTTCCCTCATAGTTGGCCTGGCACAGCTCTCATCCTCAACACACATCATTGCAATCTTGAACAAGTTCATCACGCTCGTTAATGGATACCCAGTAAGCCTGAAGTCCACAATAGCAAGCACTGCAGCGGCATCAGACGGCTGGGATAGTTCTGACATCGTCTTCCTCACCCACCTAACAATGTCCACTCCCTCCCCGAACTCCCCTACAGGTCTTCGACCCGTGATCAGCTCCAGCAGCACCACACCAAAGCTATACACATCGCTTTTCTGGTCGATTTTCAGTGTATATGCATACTCTGTTGTTTTTTAAAAAATAAATAAATAAAATTTGACCATCAAACAACAAAAGAAAATACCGAAACTTTGATTAAAATTTACAGATATGGTAGAAGACTACTAACTGCAAATACAGTACTGTAACTCCTGTTTTAGAAAATGTTTACTTGCCTGGAGCAATATAGCCGTAGGAACCAGCAATTGAGGACATGCATTCAGAGGCACCGCTGTTGTGGAAGAATTTGGCAAGCCCAAAATCAGCCACATGAGCCTCGTAATCAGAATCCAGCAGAATATTATTGGACTTGACATCTCTGTGAATTATGGAAGGCGAACAATCATGATGCAAGTAACACAATCCTTTAGCAGCCTCAACCGCAATCCTGTACCTTGATTCCCATTGCAGATGAGCCCCCTTTGTCCCATGCAACACTTCTCCAAGACTCCCATTAGACATGTACTCGTACAGCAGCAAGTTAACTTCCTTGTTGCGCACATATCCTAATAGCCTCACAATGTGCCTGTGCCTGATTTTGCCCAAAGTCTGAATTTCAGCTGTGAAGCCATGGTCACTGCGACTGGTACCGTGCTCGACTAGCCGTTTAATCGCCACATCCACGCCGTTAGGCATGGAGCCTCTGTATACGATCCCTGCACCGCCTTTGCCGATGATGTTCTCTTCTTTTAGGCATTCCAAAACGTCATCTGCTTTGAAGTCCAGCCTCTGGAATGCAGTCACCTTCCAAGCCATTGATTTCTCGTACTTTCTCCTCCTAATCATCATCCAAGTCACGGCAAACAACAGCCCCAAGGTCACAGCAACAATGGCTGCTATTACACGCGTCGACGTACGAGTACGGTTGGAGCCGTGTGCAGAGCCTGAAGCGGAAGGACAGATTTTAACAAGGGGAGGGCAGAGATTAGGATTTCCTTCGAACGGGCGGTCGCCCATGAACTTCAGCAGCCCGTCCATAGGTCTTGTGCCGGTGAAATTGTTAAAGGAAAGGTCTAGCAACGTCAAGCTTTTCATTAACCCAAGTTCACCAGGGATTTCACCAGTTAACTGATTTCTCGACAAATTGAGCGCATTTAAGTCCTTCAGCATGGAAACATCTCTCGGAATTTCGCCATGCAATTGGTTTTGGCTCAAATCAAGGCAAGTTAATTTGGGGTAGTCAGCTAGGGAAGCCGGGAGCTCACCTGATAGTCCGTTTCCACGCAAATTCAAAAGAGAAAGTTTCTTGAGTTTAGAAATTTCCTCCGGAATTTCACCTGATAAGTCGTTCATATCAAGGCTCAACGTCTGCAGCTCCGCCAAATTCCCCAGAGCGGGAGGGATTTTTCCAGTGATCAAATTATTAGAAAGCGTAAGACTTGCCAGTGCAGCGCCCGAAATTTGCATGGGAAGTTCTCCCGTGAGGTGGTTGTCGCTGAGCTCAATCATGTCCAACAAAGGCAAGTTGAAAATCCCCGCGGGAATCGTTCCGTTGAGATAATTCTTCTTTGCTCGGAACGTGATCAAGGACTTGCACTCCCCGAGTTCTTCAGGAATCGGCCCCAAAAAGAAGTTCTGCATTAAAACCAACCTCCACAGCTTGCCTCCCTTGCACAGGTCTCTGGGGATTGTCCCAGTGAGATGATTCGACGTGACATCCAGAATCAACAGCCTCCCGTTGCTCCCGAGATTTTTGGGCAATTCCAGGGTGAAATTATTCTGCCAAAGTTGTAACACCTCGAGATTTGGCAGGTCGCCAATGAACGAAGGAATTGGGCCGTGAAATTGGTTATGAAATACATCCAACAAAGTCAAATTCTTTAGCAAAGAGAATTCCGTGGGTATCTCTCCCGTGAGGTTGTTAAATGACAAGTCCAACGACATCAGGCTGGTGCAACCGGAAAGCTGTGGCGGCAAGTGCCCGGTGAGTTTATTCTGTTGCAAAAACAAAGTGTGCAACAGCTTTAACTTCCCCAGGGAAGGCGGGATTTCGCCGGTTAAATTACAGCCGGCAAGGTCGAGAAGGCGGAGGGAGCTCAATGAGCCGAACTCTGGAGGAATGCCACCTTCGTAGCTGTTGAAATAGCCGAGAAGGAGGTTTTGGAGCTTGGGAAGGCGAGCCAAGCTGGAGGGTATTCTGCCGCTGAGTCCATTGCCCTGTAATGCTAAAATCTCTAAATTCTGAAATTGGGAGTAAGCTTCTGGGATTTCCCCGTAGAAGTAGTTCCCTCCGAGTTTCAGCGTCCTGAGTTTCGGCAGGTTCACGAACGCAGTGGGCAGAAAGCCGGTGAAGTCGTTGTTATAGCAGTCGAAAGCTTCCAGCTGAGTCATTTTCATGACCAGTTGTCCGGGTAATTCCCCATTGAAGTTGTTGGCAGAGATGTTAACAAACCTCAAGGAGGTTAATTTAGAGAGTTCAGGGGGGAGGGGACCGGTGAGCTTAGTGGAGACGAGAGTGAGGTTGACGAGCTTATCCAGCAGCCCTATCTCCGGCGGAAGGCTGCCCAAGAGAGGAAGGTTGGTGATGTTAAGGGAGGTCACCCGTGAAGTACTTTGATCGCACGTGACTCCAGAGAATAAGCAATGGTTGGCGGACGAAGACGATGACCAGTCATCAAGTCCGGAGCCGCCGGGTCCAAGCATGGAGGCTTTGAGATCCATCAGTGCTTCATGGTCAGAAAATGCTTCGACATGAACTGTCGAAAGTAGAAGGAAAAGGTGAGGAAGAAGATAGGAGTATTTGAAAGTAGTGAATTCTGGCATGTTTCTGTAGATATTGCTCCACTAGAAAGAAAGAAGGTTGTACGAATGGGGATGCGAAATTAGCTATTTTTGATTCAAATAAGTAGAAGCAGTAATAGGGAATAATAGACGGTAGTGACTAGAAGCACTGCTGCTGCTGCTTTGCTTGTTCTACTACTACTACTACTGCTAGTGAGTGGAGAATCGAAGGGTCCAATATATATATATATATATATATATATATATATATATATATTTTAATATAGTAGTGTATTTCATCATTTGTTGAATAATAAACTAAGAGAAATGCGTGCTCGGGGGTATTTGGTAAATGAGTCTCAACCTGCTGTGGATTTCAAGTTCAATTATATCCACACATGCATGTATGATATGTTTACCATTTTTTTTTTCAACCATACATGATTTTTCAATCAATGGGAATCATAGGCTTTTTTTTATGAATTTTATGATTAACAACTTGTCACCGGAGAATTATCCATCTTTAGTCTTCTTAAATGTAAAAAATAAGAAAACAAAATGTCATGTTAGTCTCCTTAAATGCAAAATTACGAAAATGAAATGCCACCATTTCTGAAGCTTCTTAACAGATGGAGAAAAAAAGAAATAATGAAAAGGGAAAATAATAATATGTTGTAAAACCCATTCCTCATTAACAAACACACTATATGGGGTTTCATTCAAAATTCATATTATTATTGACCACTCTTTACTCAGAGTGTTTGGATCGTTGAATCATCCCAAATAATAATATTTCACTTGTATAATAAACATATTTTTTAATTTATCTTTTTATATTTTCAACTGTCTTTTTATCTTACATACATCACATTACGAAAAGTGCTACAGTAATTATTTTAAATAATACTCTATCCAAACACACTAATAAATATGAAATTCGAATCAAACCACCCTTTACAATTTTGGTTTATGGGATTGAGAGAGAGAGAGAGAGAGAGAGAGAGAGAGAGAGAGGGAGTTTGATGAGATGATGCATGGTTTGCAAGTACAAGTAGTAGTTCTCTTGTCCTTCGCCAGTAAAAGATAGAATAGTTTATAGAATAATTATCTTCTTTAAAAAAAAAAAAAAAAAAGGTACAGGTAGTAGTCCATTTGCTTCTGGGATTCTTGCTAAGTTGACACCACTCCAGTTGACGGCGTAGCGATTCATCAACGTTACTTTTGTTGACGGAGTCTGCCGACCATGGAGTGTACCTGTTGTAATTGCACCAGAATAACTCGTGGACAACACTAAGACATAACGTAATTAGGAAGATGGGAATATGGAATATTGCAGGTTTAGAGTAGGTACAGTTGTGATTTTGACGCATTCTTACTATCCAAATACACTCACCGTGACTTAGTGTAAATTAACATTAGGTGAATTTCGGTTCATATACTGGGTTTTTTTTTTTGTTGGGACTGAATAATTATTTTTCATTGTTGGGAGGGATAGGCATAGTTAGCTATTGATAGAATTTTTATGATTATTATATATATATATATACTTTTTTTTATTCAGAAGTTTATCCTTTGTTGCATATATCCAGGCACATACCAAATCTCATCATAGAGGAATACACACGTTTTTTTTTATTTTATCAGACTAATGCCCTGTTTGGATTGCATTTTCCGTCATTTTTCATGGAAAAATTACTGTAGCGATTTGATGTATGTGAGGAAAAAAGGTAATAGGAAAATGTGATCACGGAAAACGACGTAATTTTCTGACAGAAAATGGCAATCCAAACAGAGCCTAATTATCCTGCACTTGAAGTATCTCGCCCGTCCCTCAGGAGCGTTCGGGCGTTAAAAATAGGTTCGAACCCCCGAGACCAGGTGCTCTAACCCCGAGGGACTAGGTGACATACATACGTGATTTACGATAAATGCAAATTACTAAGTGATAGTCCATCTTTTTTATTAAAAGAATTTTTATATTTATATTTATGATTAAATGTGTTTTTCAATCAATTCGTACGAATAATTGTGCCACCATAGCGAAATTTCAACCGTAACCGTCCAGACGCTGACAAAGGCTCACCCAGTCGTTACGGTGCCGGTTGAACCAGTGATGCAGCCGCCTACGGAGGTTTCGATGGTGGACGATCGGAATATCCAGTCGCAGCGGTCGGTTTCGGGTGTGGGTCAATGGGGAGTTAATGCGTCCGTAGAGTAGTGTGCTTTTTACGAGGGAACTGAAGTTGGACGATGAGAAAAGCCAAATGGGTATTTCGGAGCGTAGTTGGGGTGCAAGCAAGGGCCAATCCAGATCCAGATCCATCAAAGACTGTCTCTGTCTTTTCCCAAACAGACACGGACCCTTTACTCTGACTCCAATTTTTATTTTGGCTGCGACTGAAAAGTCTACTCTCTTTGTTTCCTAGTTCAGTTCCTACCTCTCGCCTTGGGGCCCATTCCTCCGTCTTCTTAGTTTCATAGCCCGAAGGACACCATTTTCTTACTAAAAGCTTGTACTATTTCCTTCCCCCATCAAATCAAACACTACACAAAATTTTCTTTACTCACCTCATCTGATAGCCTTCTGCCGAGGGATAGGAGGTTGCTTGGATGGACCATTATTTGTCAAAAAAAAAAATCGAATTATTATAAAAAAATTTTAATTATTTTTTATTTCACATATACCATATATATATATATATTACATATTATTTGCAAAAATTTTTCCATAATCCTTTATGCAAACATTTGCATACTACTATTATGTGAATAAACGAATCATGCATGTTTGATATTGTCATATTTGGGCATTCAATCATATCTTTCTACTGACTATTTTATCTTGCTAAATCAATCATGAAATGATTTAGAATAACAAAATGTATACTAAAAAAATGTCAACTACCTTTAGAGTAGTTATTCATCGCATATTTTCGTGGAATGAGAGGTCAAGAGTTCAAATTTGCCTCCTATCATATTGTTACTAATATAAGTGTGTTTGGATTGCCAATTAATTCACTTTATTTACACCTTATTTATACACACTAATTTGTTTAAATTATCAACACATTTTCTAATAATTTTTTTATCTCATGTACGTCATATCAAAAAAGTGTTACAATACTTTTTCATATAAAATGCATAGTGTATTCGTATGGTTCAATAATAGTTTAGATCCTGTCAATTCTCTTTGATCCAGTTGAGTCATTTTTTTTAGAATAAACTAGAATAAAAATAGACATAGGTGGTGACAATTGACCAAAAAAATATATACTCAAAAAAAGATTCATTGCCCTTATTCTTGTCATTTTTTAACTTTTAGAGCTCACGATACGAATTACCTATCAAAGTTGACGGAGTGGGCATAAAGCGGCTTACGAGTTTTTAAGCCTAATAAGAAAGAAGATGGATTATGTTGGACCACTGTCATTCGGGCGTGGACTGAAAAAATGTATAAACAAAGAGATACTGCGGCATTTCAACTGTTCGAGTAAAGTGCATTTTCAACTTTATGCTACCATAATGGAGAGTAATTAGTGGGTCAGAATGCTTCTCAATAGCTAAAGAGAATTTGGAAGCCGTAGAAATTGTGAAAGATAAAGGCAGAATTTATTCCATTTTTCTGCAACATTAGTCCACTAGCTGAGGGGAACAAATTCATATTCTCACATAAAGCTTACCACCCTGTCAGTGTTTGGATTTTGCAATAACAAAATTAGGATATAGCAGAGTGATTTGGAATAAAGATTATGGAATGCGCTCAAATTGGATGACTGAGATTTTATATTTGGGGGTTATGTCAAATTAATTGATTGTATTTGGATTGCATTTTTCATAATTTTTCATGAAAAAATATTGCAGCGATTTGATGTATATGAGAAAAAAAAATAATAAAAAAATATGATAAAAAAAAGGGCATAATTTTCCAACGAAAAACCGCAATGCAAACAAGGCTATCATCATCAGCAGAGGCCATTCCCCGTCATTCTCTCCATCCTCGTCTCATCTTATACTTCTACAGTTTGGATAGAGTATTATTTGAAATATTAGTTGGAATAATTACTGTATCAATTTTGTGATGTGATGTATGTGAGATAAAAAGATAATTAGGAATATAAAAAGATGGGTTGAAAAATGTGTTTATAATACAAGCGAAATTTTATTTGAGATATTTGTGCTATCCAAACACTAATTTTTTTTTATTTTTTACCTTGACACTATATTTTTATATATAACATTAATAACAATGGTGTAAAAAAAAAATTTTTAGCCTCTTAACTAAATATTCAAGGTAAATTCAATATTAAAATTCATTTTGATCTTTTTAATTCATTTCTCTACTTTTAATAGCAAATCTAATAGCAAGTTAACTTCTAATCATCATATTTGTTTAAACGATTTACAATATGCGAACCTCTCATGGCCAGCTTGAGACGATTGATCTGATCTGATAGAGAGAATAGATGATAGACAAGACAGGTGGCAGAGGCCCAGAGCCGGAGCCCGGTGTTCAATGTTAATCCCGGTCCGGGCCTGCCAGCCTGCCTTGGAAGTTTGCAATGATGTTGGACAAGAAAGAAGAATATCGCTGCTCGAGTCCAATCAGATTGGATTGCAGTTTAAAAGGGGGGCGGTAGGGCTAGCTAGGGCAGGGTAGCTAGCACCTTCAAGTAACGGGTCACATCCCAGCTCAGTCGGATCTTCCTGAGAATCTAATCTAATATGTTGTTGAAGGAAGCCCTGCAAGCCCACCATAGCCTAGTGATTAGTGACTGTTGTCTTTGTTTTTATTTTCTGCCTAACAAATCAAATTCTTTTATGTCAGATTAAACTCCGAAATACTACTACTATGAAAAACTTTTCTACCAGCTTGGGTATAGGAAAGTACACAAATGCGGACTTGAGAATAAAAACTGGATCCATACACAAATTCTAACACGTTTTGATATTGGATTATTTGAAAAGAAATCATTGCCTTGTTTGGATTGCTGTTTTTCGTCAAAAAATTACGTCATTTTTTGTGATGATATTTTTTTATTATTTTTTTCCCTTATATACATCAAATCACTACAATAATTTTTTCATAAAAAATCATGAAAAATGCAATTCAAACACAAATTAAGGGATTAAAAAATATATATATGACTACAATACAAGTAAATATAATATTGCAAATAATAATTAGAAAACATATTTACGATGATGATGCATGTAAGATAAAAAAAATATAAATAATATATGTGTGTGTGTGTGTGTGTGTGTGTGTGTGTGTTTGAATAGGATAACGTTTGGAAAAAAAAAAAAAAAATCATCATAACACTTTTGGGTGATATAATAATACACTTGACATAAAAATGCGATTGAAAAAGCTAAAAGGATAATTGGATATCATGTTGATAATGCAATGATGTCCGCGGTCCACTTCATCTTGTCTTTACTTGCACCACACATGTTCATATTTTTTTTTTTTTCCTTTTCTCATCCCATATAAGATTTCAAAGTTACGTGTGTTTTTTTTGCCCTTTTCAATTAGGTTTATAAAACAACAAAAGTCTGATTCAGGCTGTTGAAAAAATGTAGTAGTTTTGCTCTAGGAACTACTGAAAATGGCATATTTGGAAAATTCAAAGTCGACTTGCCCAAGATTTCAACAGGGAACTTATGCCTACAAAATACACAATTATGCAGTTTGTCATCTATCTTCATGAATTTTTAGCAACATATTTCTAAGTTTGTTCTGAAAGTCGAACTAAAAAGACGAGGAGAAGAATCCAATACTTGTACGGTCACCGGAACAGCAAATGCCCTATCACGTAGTGTACTGGTTCACAAGTAAAACTAATCTGAAGTACTGCGCGAATTAGCAGTTTATTGTTCCTGTTTTTATGAAAATCAAAAACTTGAATCCGCTAAAAACCTTCTTGTATACCATATCATAAATTGCAATCCATCACACATATATGTGTTACAAAAAGCTTGAAGGGTAACTCGATTGTCAGAGCGATTTGCATACATTTAAACTGATGTAAATGCTAGGAGTTACTGTCATGAAAACAGGGGGAAAAAAAAAAAAGGGGTCTAGATCTATTGACAAATTGGACAACTAAATGAAAGTAAAGTTTTGCACTTGGGCATACCATGCAGGCAAACGAGAGAGAGAGAGAGAGTTCGTGCAAGGCTATACGATACAGTAGTGATAATAGAGTAGCATCTCAACCTGAAGTTCTCCATTGCAGTTCAATCTGAATACGACCATTTTTCGAGTCAATGAGGTGGTATCTCTCGTTCATACGCTTATTGCTGACAACATCTGCGAGATATATATCCACATAGCCAAGAATTTCCTACAAGGAAAATAAAAAGGTAAGTGGTTAGTTTCTTCTGATCAGCACACAAATTGAATATTAATTAGTGTGTTTGGATAGTAGATTATTTGGGATAGTTTTTTTTTTTTTTTTAAAATAATAATAATTTACTGTAGCACTTTTCTGATACGATGTATGTGAGATAAAATGGTGATTAAAAAATGTGTTGATAATGCAAGCAAATAAATTTTTGTAATTTGAAACCAATTACTTGGGACATTGAGGAGCAATTAGTAAACATTTGGAATCAACTTGAAATAGTAGTTGGAAGAAAACTAATCTGAGCATCATCCCAATCTCTAGATAACAACACAGTTAGTCTTGATCAATAGCTCTTCAGCATTGCTTTCCATGACTCATAATAAGAAAGAACATATTTATGCCCATCATGATAATTGCTACCTTGGGATGAAGCAGGCCCATCCTTGATGAAGTGCTAACAACTTCCACATGAATCCTGTCATCAGTGGGTGGTTCATCCAACATAAATTGGAACTCCTCTTCCCACCTTGGATCTCTATTTTTCTTCACTGGCTGCAACAATGGATCCATCCACAAGTAACAATCATTGCAATTGCAAAAAGAAGCTGTTGGGTTGCAAAAAGCTTCTAGTTCTTTTCTTCCCAATGTGCCAACTTTTATTCTATCAATAGTAATATAGATTACAGCTTACCTTGGTTCTTCTCTCCTCGCCCCTAAAAAGCAACCTTACAGATGGATTTGTATGATGCTTCCCTTCCAAATCTTGAGCTTCATGGACTATAACTACGAGCAGGCCACCACTCTCAGGAGTTCCTTCTGGAGCCTTTTGTATTGAATTTGAGTCTTCAATGTCATCGGGCATCTCATCGTCCTTGAATGGTTTGTACAGCACTTCAAGAACAAGCTGCCCCCGTGACTTCTCATTTTGAGGATCATTCGGGTTTAGATTCTTGAGAAGATCAAGCGTCACAACTTTTGGCTCATCAGGTGCAAGCTCCTTCAGAGGGACGACATTTATTCCCATCTTGTCATGGACGCCAACCTATGTAGGATAAATTGGCTGAGAGTTACACAAACACGAGGAGCAAATTGAACATAAAGCAAATCTTATGTTGTTTAGGCAATGAGTAGGGCAGCAAAACAATCTCTCTGCAAGGAGGAATAAACTTAAAAACACTTTCACAACAAATTTAAAATGTGCTCAGTATCCTCCTGTTGAACAATACAAATTACATCAGTTTAGAAAACCACACAAGTCCTCATGCATCCTTTTGAAGCGAAGGTAATTGGCACGGTTTATGTAAAACACAGGGCGCTAAACAGTAGAGTAATTTGCATTTCTTTGGTGATACTAATATAATTACTCCTAGAAAAAATAAACCCCCCATCAAGCTCAAAAAAAAAAAAAAAAAAAAGGTAACTGACGTAATATTTATGATGCAATTGTAGGAAAAGACCTGTTCCCAATCGTAGACAGAAACATCCAGAACTTGAGATTGTGGATCCTTCACAACAAAGTTATATTCTTCATTCCATTCAGGATTCAAGTTCTTCTGTTTCACAGTTGTCTTCTTCGCAGGAAGTTTGTCTTCACTAAGTTTTAGCTTCACATAAGGGTCTGAAGCACCCAAAAGATCTTTCTTCTTAAGCTTCATTGCCCTCAACACCTTCACAGCAAGGATTCCAACCGGTTTCTTCATTGCTCTGTTAAATTGGAGATGTAATAAGCATTATCAGATGGTAGGACCATCTGTAGATGGATGTTTTTTAAATAAAATTCATCAAAAGACTATAGACTTACTTAGCAGGATCCAATACTTGTACTTCTAGTGTTTTTGGCCACAGATACATATTTGCAACCTGATCTTTAATAAGCTCCTGGAGTAAAAATATGACAGAAATGTCATGCAAACAGCCTGAGTTACCAGTAAAATACACGCAACAACCACGCTGCAATATTTTGGAAATATCTAAAGGTATAGGTGTAGCAATGACAGTTTATACAAAATTCTACACTTAAAAAAAAAAAAGGATAAATATTGGCTTAGCCATGGCATAACAATTGCAAAGTTAAAAGACAAACAATATTTACAGCCATGACTGAGATGTGGAGTTGGAGGAGAATAAAGCCTCAAAGCAGAAGGAATGCAACAGAGGAGTTAACAAGAGGTTAAACTAGTTAAGTTCCTAAACAAACTAGTTGTCTCAGCATTCAAAATCTGAAGGAATGAAGAAACATACACATGATGAGGACAGAAACTCTATGCTAATGAGCCCATCTTCACAATCACTTATTAACAGTAACTTTTTAGTGGACATATTAGCATCAGCTGCATAAGCTTCACTGAAAAGCCATGCCATATAAGCCATATCAAAATTAACATTGAAAACTAGTTCATTGAGGAGAGTAAGATAAAGAAACAAAATGCAAAATAGAAATTATACCTGAACAAACCTGTACAGACCAGGAATAGACATAGCATCAGCCCCCAACAGTTTCAATCCAAAGTCAACGTGAGGCTGCAAAATGGGAGGTTGGGGGGGGGGGATAAGAAGACGACTTTATGGTCTGAAAATAAATAATTTCAGCATTTCATGAAGATTATCAGAATCTTTTGAATGAAAGAAATGACATTCCTTAGTCACCATATGAGTGGCACACAATTTGGCTTCAACAGAGATATCTATTTATAACTTGTAAATGCTGCTCAGCTATACATATAGAGCAGTCTGCTTCTTTGGATAGCTTGTATTATTTATGAACTTCAGAAAGTGCGATTCACAACAGAAGAACAATAGTTCCCAACTCTGGTAAAGATCAGTATCCGTTTTCAAAGATATAGGCATAAAAATCAAGTCACATATCTAACACTTGCCTTTACTGTGAAAATAAGTTTCTGCACAGCAAGGGATTCTGGGAACAAATACTCCAGTTTCAAGGCAAAAGAAGCAGCAGAAAGAATTATCCATTTTGAAAATATTTTAATTTAATGAAGAAAACAAAGTCCATCCATTTGACGTTCACCTTTTCCATCAGAGAAACTAATATCTTCGCAAAACAAGGGAAGCTTGGAACAAGTGGCTTCAGTGTGATACGTGGAGAGGCAAATACTTGCAAGTCAAGCACCTGAAGTACTCAAAAAAGGAAAAAAAAATGTTTACAATCAAGAGAAAAAGGGGGAAGAAAGCTAAGCATGTTGCAAGACAGAAAATAACTATTAATCTAAATATAGCAATCTTCACAACATTAGAACCCAGAGGACTGCTCTTAACATTTTCTCTATCCAAAGAATAGAGAAATTAGCCAATACCTGAACGGTTGCTCGCAATCCAAATGCCTTGACAACAACAGTTATGTTAGGATTACCAGCCCATTTCAAGGCTGGTTCCATAATCAATTCTTTCTCTTCAGTGGAATATACTTTCATGCCTGCAAGAGAAGCGCCATATATGAAAAAGTTGATCATTGTTAAGAATAAAAGGAATTTTGGACTTTGGGCACAGTAATTTTCATGACAATTCACACCAGCATAAGCAGCTAAGAGGACAGTTAGAGGGGCAAAAGACTAAGCAAATCAATGGATGATCCAACAGGAGGTTTAATATGATACATTACTTTTCTAATTTCAATGGATTACGCACCCGCACAAACTGGTGAACTATATATCCTCACTGTTCATGAAGGCTAAAGTCCTACATTACTCATATCCAGCAATCACAAGATTTTAACCTCAGAACTGCTGAATGTGGACAGCCAAATTGTCATCAAACACGTGGATCCCAAAATTATTCACTGCTCAAAGAATTCAGCAATGGACAATATTTCTTCAGAAAATGTCACAAGGAACTAAAAGCTAAGCTTCACAAGTAAGAGAAGTCCAATTTCAATCAGCATTAACAAATTTTCAGCTTTGACTAGAATCAAGCAAAAAAATTACTTACATTGCTGCAACACTCAGAAGAATATCACCTGAATGAGATGCCAATAGCTCTATGGCTTTAAACATGTCCTCTTAGATCACCATACTTATCTTACTATGTATAAAGGGAGAGGAAGGGGGGTAAACTTTTTTTTTTGTCACTTTTTGTTTTTCCTTATTTATCCTCCCACTAAATAATAGAAATCTCCGATAACCACAAATAATTTTTTTAACAACACAAAAAAAAAAAAATCACATTACACCCAACCCAATCAAATCTTTTAATAAATGCTCATTAATTTTTTTTTTTAAATTTGCACACATAGGGTGTGCATTGAACACTAGTAACCATTAAACTTCAATTGACAAAGATATGCATCTTTGAAGAATATCACTTGAAAGCCAACCAAAACAAGATAATACACTACATGAGTTTGTCCTGCAAGCAGCAGGGAAAAAAGGAGAAGCTCAACCTTGAAATGTAGGAGGCAGACAGCCCAAAGTCAGTGCTTCAAACTGAACCGATTCAATTTTGTATTTTGGTATCTGTTCGGCTATGATGGGCTCCGCTGTTTTCTTTGCAGTCTTGCAAATAGCCTGAGAATCTTTGTTGATCAACACACTCAGGAATGGAAAAAAAAAAAAAAAGTAATACATCGTCAACATTCAAGTAAGCACAAACCTTATCCAAATAAGGCCACATAGTTTCAATAAATTTGTTGAGCCAATCAAGCTGAAAAAAATGAGTTAAATAAGATGAGTATTTTGTTCATGCTTTACACGGCAAGAACCCAAAATTATGATATATGGAGCAGTGCCTACACGATCATAATCTGGATTTTTTACCCAAAGGGGTATTTCTGGTAGCATCTTCTGGAGATTTTGAGTTTCTTGCTCAACCAAGGGCCGGATATCAGGATCCTGAAGAACATACAATCCAAATTGAATAATTGTACACTCGTTTAATCTTTGCTTAAATCAGAAAACAAGAGAAACTCATTCACATGATCATCTCATTACATTGCCTGCTTTAACTTGCAAAATATTGAGTATCTCTACTTAATTTTCAGAAACCTATTATGCAGTTTCTAAGAGAAAGTGGCTTTTCCCAAACTCAAATGTTAATTCAATTTCGTTAGAGGAAACTTCTATTGGAGTGAACAAGTACAAATCAAGGTAGGAAATACAAGCAAAAAATGTCAAAGGGCTTTCCCGACACTAATGACTACACCCCAAAAAAGAGGGAAAAAAAAGGGAATGCAGCTTAAATTTCAGGCAGCTATAGTACACCAAAGGAGTGGTCGTTAAACGTGAATGTTAACAAGAAATCAAGAAAACAGAACCAATGAATCCTTTATATTCCCACTCTGCCCCAGCATGACACTTTTTGAATTTCTTTCGTAAGTATAGAAGATAGAAAAGCAAGGATAAGTACGTTCTTCCTCATAAACTTGAGAAGAAACTCATCAGTTCATTTGCAGCGAAGTGGGAATAACTACCATACAACTTCATTTACCATTTAGAACTCAGCCAAAACTCATACTACAGAATTTGCATACGAAATAAGGTAAAAGGATACGTATTAAATATCAAAGTAGGCACGAAAATACAGAACATCAACAGATTAAAAAATAAAAATCATAACAACTGACCTTGACATCAGTTGGTTGGACGTAGATGAAGAGAAAATATCCGATCACAAGCCCAATGGTGATTCCGATTCCAAACCCAAAAACACCCATAATTGTACTGATTATAGCCATTTCTAAAAGCCTTGCTTTTAAATCACCTCAAATTGCCACCACAATAATCCTCACAAGGGAACAAAAGGGTCAGCCAGAAAGCCTAAATGTTCATCATTAGCACTCCGGTTTTACAGAAGGTGAAACCTTTCTACGACCCAATTCCAAGAATTGCATGACAAACAAACTTTTGGGCTCCTGGGATCAACTTTGAAAACACTGGAAAGGAAAAACCAAAAACTTTAGCAGAAAGTTAACCAACAAAAGAGGAGGAGGGCAAGAGCCTTTGGCTATGATAGGCGTTACACTTACATTATGCGGAAGATCTTTAGCAAGGAAATATTCAGTATCTGGAAAAGACATAAATGCGGATGTCCCATCTATAATCTATGCCTCAACTACCCATTTGATCCACACATAACGGCTCTGCTAGAGAACAATTCAAGCGCGTGCCACTCGTACTTGTCGGTAAAGCTTCCGCTGCCTTAATTGCTTCTGCATGAGGGTATTTTGGTCTAATGATTCGGAAATATCTTGTAAGCACTGCTTAATTTGGGTAAGACTCGAGAGGGGCCCCTGAGGTACGTGTATCTACATAACGAGGATAACGTGACTGGTTGTTTTACTTTGATATTTCTCGTTCAAAATTCTTTTATATTGGGTAATGATTAATCACAAAAGATATGAGCAAATTTGAATTGAAGTTGGTCGCCGCCGGCCTGCCACTTTCTTGATTTAACTTCTTCCCCATTGGCCAATGTAGATAATAAAATGTTAGACACGGAAGTTTGAAATCCTCGGCTTGCTGGATTCCTGACCTGGCAATTTCTCGAAGTACAGCGATGTCCTCTTTCTTTCTTGTCAGTCCAAAACTAGAGGGATCCATATGCTGTGATTGAAAAACATTTTAGGGCATAAATTATAATGGGACGACAGTAAAGAATTCAATGCTTAGGTTAATTGTATTCTTACAACATTCATCAAAACTCTCCATAGAACAAGTAACCGTGCGTGTTAATTAAAGGAGTGTGTTAAATTCAGTAGTTATAATTTTTTTTCCCTAAATAATAAGACTTAGGTTATGGATTTTGGATGAAGGAGTGGATCAATCGGGCCAACTTTCGTGTACAACGAGCGCACTAGTATGCCCTTTAGAGTACACGTTATATACGTTAACAGTGTAAATACTATCAACGTAAGATCTATGACACGCATGTATCAAAAAAATTGAATTTTAAATTTAAATTTTACATAATTGTCATTCATTCAAGACTAACAGCAGCATATACACTGTCGGTGCAGGAAAAATTAATCCATATTTTTATATTGCAATTACATTTCGCTAACTCTAATCCATATTTTTATTCGTCCGAATTTCTCGAGTAACACCACATAGAACAACGAGTTGAATTGGCGCATGAAACTAATAATGAAATGGTGGTTGGTTACGTGAGTTTGTTTGAATAGTTGCAGTGGCTGCTATATGTTTACTTCATCAACCAAATCGCATTTTTTCTCCAATCTCTCTGTCCGCAGAAATAGGATAATAAGAAAAATATTGATGAGCATAGTGATTAGCGGAATCCAGCAAAGTCAAGTCATGAATTGCATAATTTTCGCTCATAAGTCATTTTGGATTCAACAAAAAAACGCCAAAATGTTTAGTACTGTATGCGGGGGTCAGCGTGCCCAAGAAACTGATAGAGGGATTTCTTTCTTTTTTAGTGTTTGTCTAAAATTTTATTGTAGTTTACCGTAGAAATTTTTAAAAATTTTTTTGAAGTGTGTAAATTTTTGAATATATTTGAAGTGTATAGTTTAAAATTTTTGAAAATTTTTTGAAGATTACTGTAACTAAAGTTTTTACAAAATTTATAACAAACAAATTTGGTAAAAAACTCAAGTGCCAAAAGGGCTTCGAGTGAGAACCCCGCAGTTGCATGAAAGCAACTGGTTTTAGCTGTTGCTTCTTGTATCTCGTTATTATAAATTTCTAAATGATCACTTGCAATTCTGACGTAAAAATTCATTTTTTCCATAAGCAAGAGACGAATAACAATTCATTTTACATTGTTTGGATTGGGCTTTATTTCTCAAAATTTATTTGCTTATATCATCATTACAATTTCCAATACACCTTTTTACCTTCCCAATTACCTTTTTATTTCACATACATCACATCACAAAAAGTGCTACAGTAAAAATATCTCTAATAATTCACAATCCAAACAGACCACTAGCGTAGATTTCATCAATGAAACTATATATTATGTTTTTATTAAAAATCAAAAAAGAAGAAGATAATGAGGGCCTGGACTAAGGATGTGGGCAGTACAATTTTGAATTGCCGAAGAAAGGGCAGATCACAATTACCACTTAGAAGCATCTCCACAGGGCCCAGATGCGAAACCAAGCAGACTGCGATCTCATGCATGTGTGGGCGTGACCTTCTCATCTGGGGATTCATACAAGCGAACAGCACTGTTGGGCTTCTATCAGATTAAAACATGGGAAAGGATACTCTTTTCCATTTTTTATTTTTCCCATTAAAGAGGAGGTGAGGGTACAGCAGAACTCAGCCATTTTGCTAGCAAAAGTTGTACTCATTGTTGGTGACCACCGGTGGTACTCTTTTTGATAACATACTTTTTTGGGATCACTTCTACGTTTTTAAAGAAAGAAAGAATGTATTACTATTCGCCAATTACCATTTTCCATTTTCTAGCTGATTCTCAACCTAATATATGTTGAGTTGTCTTATTCTTTCATAATGCGAATTAACATGTTTATTATTATTTGACAGAGCAGATTAAAATTCATAAAGATCAGTACATATGTGCAATTTATTTTTCAATTTGAACTATTAGCTCAAAACAAAAGATAATTGCAATTCTAATCCCTTTTCCCTAAATTCTTCGTTGAATGATCTGCTCAGCATTTATTCTTAGTCAAAAAAAAAAAATTCTAAGATAATCTGATTATGGTAGTAAAATAATCTAACGAATCCTAACGTTGATGCCAAAAATTGTCTCAACCACTTTTAGTGAAAGATAGCATGCGTCTTGCTCCAATATGGCCTATAACAGGAGGCGCACTTTAGTCTGTGGAGAAACTTAACTGTTAGTTACTAATGATTTTTAGAGCGATGAATAAAATCATAAGGAGACAAACTCAAATGTTCCATGACTTTGTGTAATTAATTATGATTATATGATTGAGTCCAAACCATATTAACCTCGTTATAAAAGAAACTAAAGTGAGCCTTAACGGGCCATTTGTTGTGAATTTTGGACGAGGCTGAAATCTAAATATTTTCCTGAGTTGAGACGAGGGAGAAAGAGAGGTGTCGGAGCAGTGAGACGAGGGAGAAAGAGGAGAAGGGAATGGCAAGAAGTGGTTGTGGTGGTGATAGGTGTTAGTGGTGAACGGTGGATGGTGAACGGTGGAGAAGGGTTGAGAGGAGAGAGCAAGGGAAGGGAGTGTCGTGAAAAATTGGTGTTTCGTGTATTTTTTGATGAACACTAAATAATTTTTGAAAACGACTACACTAAAATTTTAAGCAAACATTACGAAAAAAAAAACACATTGTGTATTTTTGACAAACGCTAATAATTTTTTAAAATGACTACACTAAATAGTTAGACAAACAACCAAAAAAACACATACCATAAGTTGATATATATATATATATATATATTTGTTTCTACAGCCGATTAATTGCTTCTAGAGGAAGACATTTTTTTAATTTATTATATAAGTGAATAATTTCGAACCCAAATCTCTCACTACTTATACGCCATTCTCTTATCTCGTACTACTCAATGCATCCGCCCCGTTTTAGAGGAAGGAATTGAATAAACAATTACCAATATCATGTCGCCACTTGCCACACGGTTTGAGCTTTTCTTTCTTCTACTAATTTATTATAATTTTCATTTTCTTGATGATGATGGGTGCCCTACCAGCCCACCACAAATCAGCAGCTCCATGTGACCGTGATCAGTAATAAATGTATCATATGTTAAGGAAGCCAATCATTCGAGATTGCACCCTAGCAATTATTATTATTTTCATAATACTCTTGCTATTATTATGAAGCATCGAAATATCTTTGGTCGAGATGCTAGAGACGTGTTAAACTACTTTATTGGAAAATTATTTGGTCGAGAAAAATGACTTTGAGCCTTTATTATGGCCAATCTCTACCACTGATGCTCCATTCCATCTCCAACTAACAATAATAATATACGTAGAATATAGCACCACATTTAAAGGGACGCTGGATTTAATCAAATTGGTCGGTGGCCAAACGGCGTCATTACCAAACTGACATCACCTTTTCATATTTTACACGGCGGACCACTCCTTTGGAAAATTTTCAGATACACTTTGAAAAGTAGAATATGTTTTGCTGTCTTGCTGAATTGTTGGTTGAACGTTGTACTACATTACACGTTGATGTGAGCCACTTGTTGTTCTGATTTGATTGGTAAAGCAGCCCTTGATTTTGGGTCGGATGATGTTTTGTACTCAGCTTTGTCCCCCACAATGTTTCAACCAAATTATTTATAAAAGCTCTTGCCTTTGGACGCCTAACTTTGGGGAGGATGAGTTGCTCTTGAACATGCTTCTAATCCCCTCTATATGTGCGCTTGAAATAAGAGGGCACGCTTTTACGCGTCATGGAATACTCAATTATGATCCCACAAAATCGTTGCAAATTTTATCAACATCAGAACACAAAAATAGTATACCACAATTTTATACGCAAACTTTCCAGTTTCAAGCTTATATATCTTTATACTATATAAGAATGAGTTTAGAGCAAAGATTTCAATCGCAAGGATGGGGCTATTTTGGAAATATGAGAGCATTTGAAGTGCAATTGAAATATTGAATATGAATCATTATAGCTAATTTGATTTTTTTTTACAATTACTTAAATGTTCTGTCAGACATTTAAAGCTATGGGTAAGTTTAACATGTGGCAATATTCGATATCCGATTAAACATTGGGTACAACTGAATTCAACTTGTGTTTTAGTGGAATTACATAAAAATCCTTTTAATCATTTAATTGGATTAACATCCAAGTCTCTTAATTTCTTAAAGCATTTTTCATCAGTTATTTGCAAACTTATGATATATAGATGTTAAGACACAATTAATACTGATTAGATTAGTAGAGAAGTTTGGTTTCTTGGCCGTTACCATAGTAACTCCCATCTATTCAAATTCATTTCATTTACTTATAATTTTGTTCCACTACAATGATGTAGTCTATTGAATTCAGATATTGCTATATTAGTTACTCCTCTATCCCATTTTGCAACATCTTTATCAATAGATATGTTTTCTTTAACTAACCTACTTTTTTGGTTGTAAGAAATCTGTAATCTTGCAAGTTGTATATGTAATACTTTTTTTTAGTGTTTTAATTCAATTGCCCATGTTAGATAGGCTTG